TGATTTGTGTCCAGCGTACGAACTTTTGTTAGGACTTAGGTTGACGAAACTGTGTGCACGGATGCAGGTAACTATTGATCTGCAGCACTGAGACTTACAAAACAGAAGCATAATACTAATCTTGATTTTGATCTATGATCTCTACGATAGGAAAACAGTGTCTTATTTGTGTATGATGCCTTGACCTTGAACTTTAACCGTGACTCCTATGATAGTCATTGATGTTCTTGTTATAGCTGTTTTCTGATGAACTAAGGTTCACTTAACTAAGTCAAACTAAATATGCAGATGCATAATGGAAAAGTCAGTAAAATTAGGTCATTTTGGCTTTGACCTTTGAACCCAGGACAGTTGATTGCCATTAACATTGAAGTCAGCCAAAAGGAATTGAATTTCTAACACATGTCATACTTTGAACGGTATAAAATTATTTGCAATATTACAGAGGTAATGCTTATATAAAATGAATGTCTGACTGTTACAGGACCAAATTATATGAATTGAACTATTCTTCCTGTTGTATGTGTAATGGACGTTTTCTCCAACAGAGAAAAGGTGGATTGTAAGTTTCAGTTGTTATAGATTTTTTTTATACATTAAAATTCTGTACTTATTATGTTAAACATGACACAGATATATGTTACACAAATACCAGGGAAGCAAAGGTAAAATCTTGAACTATAAACACCACAAAACGACAATAAACCTCCCTTTTTGGTTTTAAATCATCTAAAAAATAAATAAAAGCCAGTCATACGAATATGAATTTATTAGAAAGTATAAGTGAATATAAAACACTCAAATATTATATAGTATCTACAGTATATGTTGCATGTAAATGAATACGAAAAGTACTGGCTACATAAGGCTGCAATTTCGTTCCAGTGTATGCAATTCCCCATCTTACGTCTAGGATATTTTAATATGCTAATCTGTTTTTAAAGACTCCCAAAACAAGAGTAAAATTCTTCAGTGAGGAAATTTGCACTTAATGTAAATTTTCTGTTTTAGTTTGATAACTACTCAGAATTTTACAAAATAAATCAAATTTCAGATATTTTTAGCTACTTTTAAGCAATTCTCAATTAAAAAAATTATGGTATTAAAAACTTTTATGTAAACACATAAATATAGAATAATTTAATTGCAATGTCCTTGCTTGTGAGATAAAGAATACTTATCTATTTTTTTATCATCTGTTGGTTATAGTATATCATCAAAACGCTCACGTATTTTGTAGGCTATACTCAATAACAAAAATAAGAATACACTAAACGTCTGTTGATCTATAATACATGTGTAAGTTCATAATTTAATTTATTATAAAACCATTTTAACCGAATTTCTTACAGATAATCACAAAGAAAAACTATATATTAGGCTAATATTATACATAAGCATTATTGGTCAGTCTAGATTTAATGATGTGCCTATTTATCTATTTGGAATTGTACAATTTATTATTTGATTAATGTTTAAAAGAAAATCATAATGACAATCAGAGTATTTCATGAATTCACAAGTTCTAAAAAGGATTCATGAGTTATAGTGTATATTTTAAAATTTTGATGTATAATGATTTAATTCTGTTAAACTCAAATTCATTTCATCCTCTACATACTTTGTTACAAAAAGTACACTTTTTCTAGAGAAGACGTTGTTTGCACATGTAAGTTTTGCAGTCAAAAATACAACTTAATGGCATGGTACTTTATATTTTTAAAGCATACACATCTCAGCAAGAAATCATCAATAAACAAAAAGACATATAAAAAGTCATCGGTACATGTAGTTTGTTAAAGAAAACACGGATCCATAATTATATATATTTGGGCAAAACATGTAACAGTTAAATACTAGATTATACATGGATATTAAAAGAAATACAATTTACCATTATACATTTGCAAACATAATTACACTCTGATCTAGTCCTGTTCATGAAATATAGGTCGGATACAACCTTTTTTTCCACCCATGCTGGCTTTTGCAGTCATAGTGACCTACTTCCCAATTATGTATCATCTTTAGCTTGAAATGATCATATTACTTATGGTAACTTGTATATAAACTCATATGCTAAACTTGAAAAAGTAAATTTAAGCATGTAGATGTGACCTACTTTGTATGTACATGTATAATAATGTATCTAATCATACGTGTCACATCTTCTAACAACACAGCAAACAGTGACATGTTAAGAAATGTCAAATAGCAACGGTCTATTGACTTGTGTCATGACTCGAACAGTTTGCATATAATGTAAAAATAAAATAAATGTAAATCGCATTTACACGGATATTTGTATTTCTGTAATGATCAAATCCAACTGTACAAATTTTACGTTGAACTTCCTTGAAAGTTCTCTGAATTATGTGTATTTTGGTTTGTAGTACTTCTATTTATTTGTACTAGTAATCGATAACCTGTCACCTTACACGTTATAAATTTCATGCGTCCGAGGCGCTTTTTCGGATTTACCTCCATCAGCATCTTTAACAATACGATACAGTTATTTTTCCGCGTGTTTTTTCCCATTCTGCGACAATTATACTCAGTGAAAAGGAAAATAACAAACATACCGAACTCCAAGGAAAATTCAAAACGGAAAGTCCCTTTTAAATTAAATATAACCTGCCAAGTTTGTCATCAAATTGCAAAAACAATCCCCGGTATACAGATATACGGTAGTTGTTACCGAGATGGATTTGATATGAATGAGGAGGATACCCTAAAAGTGCTTCCTCAACGTCATTGAGGCGAACTAAAAACGTAAAAAAATATATATATTTACACATATTCTACAAAATTGTATATCAAACATATATCAATCATTCTGTACAAAATTCCAGTGATATTTTAAAATAGAACAAGGTAAGAGTCTGTAAGAGTATACAAATATTCCAACATACATTCAATGAGAGATTTCAGAAATAAAATTTAAAGATAGCTTTCATTCAATTCTTTCAGAAAAAAAAAGGACAACAACCAAACATGTAACTTAATAAAATAAGTGATATGATACTTGTTATCAACAAAATACGTAAATTGACAGTTAAATCTTTCAATAAAAATATTAATGTGTGCTATTTTCATTACACTACACATATCAATAAACCAGAATTTTTTTCCTTATCGGTAAAAGCATTATCTTATGATATGCAATAATATATACACAATTATTTAAATGAAAATTCATGAAAATACAAATGTATATCTTCAGCATTTATATATAGAAAAATACGCACTAGTCATTTGACGACTACAATATTTCATACTGTTCATAACCTGAATTTTTATTTCGAACATATAGTCAACTGGCTAAGGTTATAAATAAAGAATATATTAATATAAATAAGAAGATGCGGTATGAGTGCCAATGAGACAACTATCCATCCAAGTCACAATGTGTAAAAAGTAAACAATTATAGGTCAAAGTACGGCCTTCAACACGGAGCCTTGGCTCACACCGAACAGCAAGCTATAAAGGGTCCCAAAAAGATTAGTGTAAAACAAATCAAACAGGAAAACCAATGGTCTAATTTATATAAAAACGAGAAAGAGAAACACTTATGAACCACACCAACAAACGACAACCACTGACCAACAGGCTCCTGACTTAGGACAGGTGCATACAAATGCAGCGGGTTTTAACTGGCGCCAACCTTCACCCTAACATGAAACAGTGGTATAATATTACAACATAAAAAGACACACAATAAAATATCAATTGCAATGGCTTAAGTCGATCAAAAAGACAGTACACAAAAACAAGTATATATACACTGAACGAACTAGACATTATTGAGATGGTAGCCATCTCTGTGGGCCCCGCTGACCTTGAACTTTAACCAAGGAAGTTGTACAAACATTATGACACACCCTCTGGTGTTGGTTAATATACATATCAAGTATAAATTATGAAATTATAACGGTTCTCTAGATATAGAGCGGAAACAATTTGTTACGGACGGACGGACGGACAGACTGATCACTATAGGGCGACTCGCCACTAGGCGGGGCCCTAATAAGTTTGATCTATGACACAATATAAATAAAAAAGATATTTTACTATCAAAAAGACAACTTTAACCTAGAACAAAATGGCGATAAATAAAGTAACGTAAACAGGTAAATTTAAATATGATAATTTTGTTGTTAGGAGTACAGAAACATTTTTTACAAAATAAATTTGTAGTACGAGTACAGAAGTGAAAATTTTTTCCCCCGTCATACTAAATACTTATCAAAGGTGGTACAAAGAAATAGTAAGACGAGATATAACACAAAATAAGTAAACATTGAATAACAGAAATGCATTACAAATTGTGTCAACAGGTCAAATAAACACGAAAGTACGATTTGAGAGTACTCGCAGTTACTGAAAGCTAGTTTAAAGCCAAAAACAATTAATAATAAAAAATCATGCATCAGAGACTAAAACCAATTAAAACACATCCCAGGCAGGGATTTAGTGTTTAAACGCCATGGACAGTCAAAGAAGACATGACTTGTGCAATGCCAAAAGAAAAGTAACGACAGGCAGTAGGATAGTAAGGATTTAACCTTATAATAAATATGTATGATGTTATGTATAGATAAAACAATTTCTAAATAGAAAATAAACGTGAATGTGTATATATACATCCCAAAAAACCATTCGAAAAGAATACACATTTGGTTGTGTTTTAATTTGTTGATGACAAAATCGATGTTAGTGCCAATGAAAACAATATTCAAAGATCTTATTACAACATTAATAAGATAACCTTTACAAATAAGTTTGTTTAAAGGTTCGATAAATTTACACGGATCACATAGTGATTTCCGCGCTTGAAGTACAATATTTCCGTAAAATTTAGGATGTAAAATACCATTATTTAGCATGTTTAGTGTATACAAGTAACATGATTGATACAACAAACACATACTATTCATACCAAAAATTACAAGTAATAAATAAGTCAATGTTTGAAAATCTGCAATAATCAATTTACAACTTAATTCTTTTGTACTTTAATACCACCTTAAAAAGTATACAACAATTCACAACATTGTCAAAAAGATAACATAGAGAGCAATCTGAAATAAGATATTTTTCTTACACTCCAAATTTTTACTAACATATAGTCCTAATCAGCTGGCTAAGCTGAATGAAAAACGATATTGGGTACACAACAAAAAGAAAACAAATCTAAAGAGCTTTTAATCTTATCTTATTAACATAGTTGGTTACAGATAGTTTACTAGTTTGAAAATTTTATTACGAATTTTACATGGCATTAAAAGTATAAAATCAAACATATGCAATGTTGTTCTAAATATTATCAAAAAATGGTATTCGCCACCTTACAATACAATCAGATTAACGAATATCTGTCACTTTATAAAATAGTCTATATTTTCATCTACCAATTGATATATGTACACACATTGACACAAAATTATACATCTTTGTACTAATAATCTCATTTCTCTACAGTATACACATAGCAAAATAATTCAAATAGTCAGGTAATTTTCTAATATATAAACCACATGATATATAGCCATACAACATTATCAAAACGAGATATGTATATGCTTTAAAGAGATTTGTCAATATATCTACAAGACAGCAACCTAACAATACAATAAAGAAAAAACAAACAAACAAACAACAGCTACAGGTTATAAATAGAAGTATTTGACTAGTGCCGATACTTCAAACTATAAATATGATAAACTAATCTAAGCTGTTTTGCGGGTTTTGAATATTAAATGAATTTATTATGTATAAATTTGTACGGGTACAAACAATAAGAAAATATCCTTCACAGAAATTGATCATTTTGAAATTAATTTTGATTTGCCCCTTTTCCTTTTAACAATGATTCTATTTCTATGTGTCCTTGCTCCAGTGCTACACTAAAAGGACTTCTACCTTTAAAGTCACATTGATTGACATCAGCTGAACATTTTAACAATTCTATAACAACATCAACATGTCCATTCTCACTTGCTATATACAGAGGTGATACACCATTATTGTTACAGTGATTAACATCAGGTGAATATTTTAACAATTCTTTAACAACACTAACATGTCCATTGTGACTTGCGATATACAGAGGTGATGCATCATCATTGTCACAATGATTTACATCAGCTGAATGTTGTAACAGTTCTTTAACAATATTAACATGTCCATTCTCACTTGCTATAAACAGAGGTGATGCACCATTATTGTAACATTTATTGACATCAACTGAATGTTGTAACAGTTCTTTAACAACACTAACATATCCTTCCTGACTTGCTATATACATCAGCATCTTTAACAATACGATACAGTTATTTTTCCGCGTGTTTTTTCCCATTCTGCGACAATTATACTCAGTGAAAAGGAAAATAACAAACATACCGAACTCCAAGGAAAATTCAAAACGGAAAGTCCCTTTTAAATTAAATATAACCTGCCAAGTTTGTCATCAAATTGCAAAAACAATCCCCGGTATACAGATATACGGTAGTTGTTACCGAGATGGATTTGATATGAATGAGGAGGATACCCTAAAAGTGCTTCCTCAACGTCATTGAGGCGAACTAAAAACGTAAAAAAATATATATATTTACACATATTCTACAAAATTGTATATAAAACATATATCAATCATTCTGTACAAAATTCCAGTGATATTTTAAAATAGAACAAGGTAAGAGTCTGTAAGAGTATACAAATATTCCAACATACATTCAATGAGAGATTTCAGAAATAAAATTTAAAGATAGCTTTCATTCAATTCTTTCAGAAAAAAAAAGGACAACAACCAAACATGTAACTTAATAAAATAAGTGATATGATACTTGTTATCAACAAAATACGTAAATTGACAGTTAAATCTTTCAATAAAAATATTAATGTGTGCTATTTTCATTACACTACACATATCAATAAACCAGAATTTTTTTCCTTATCGGTAAAAGCATTATCTTATGATATGCAATAATATATACACAATTATTTAAATGAAAATTCATGAAAATACAAATGTATATCTTCAGCATTTATATATAGAAAAATACGCACTAGTCATTTGACGACTACAATATTTCATACTGTTCATAACCTGAATTTTTATTTCGAACATATAGTCAACTGGCTAAGGTTATAAATAAAGAATATATTAATATAAATAAGAAGATGCGGTATGAGTGCCAATGAGACAACTATCCATCCAAGTCACAATGTGTAAAAAGTAAACAATTATAGGTCAAAGTACGGCCTTCAACACGGAGCCTTGGCTCACACCGAACAGCAAGCTATAAAGGGTCCCAAAAAGATTAGTGTAAAACAAATCAAACAGGAAAACCAATGGTCTAATTTATATAAAAACGAGAAAGAGGAACACTTATGAACCACACCAACAAACGACAACCACTGACCAACAGGCTCCTGACTTAGGACAGGTGCATACAAATGCAGCGGGTTTTAACTGGCGCCAACCTTCACCCTAACATGAAACAGTGGTATAATATTACAACATAAAAAGACACACAATAAAATATCAATTGCAATGGCTTAAGTCGATCAAAAAGACAGTACACAAAAACAAGTATATATACACTGAACGAACTAGACATTATTGAGATGGTAGCCATCTCTGTGGGCCCCGCTGACCTTGAACTTTAACCAAGGAAGTTGTACAAACATTATGACACACCCTCTGGTGTTGGTTAATATACATATCAAGTATAAATTATGAAATTATAACGGTTCTCTAGATATAGAGCGGAAACAATTTGTTACGGACGGACGGACGGACAGACTGATCACTATAGGGCGACTCGCCACTAGGCGGGGCCCTAATAAGTTTGATCTATGACACAATATAAATAAAAAAGATATTTTACTATCAAAAAGACAACTTTAACCTAGAACAAAATGGCGATAAATAAAGTAACGTAAACAGGTAAATTTAAATATGATAATTTTGTTGTTAGGAGTACAGAAACATTTTTTACAAAATAAATTTGTAGTACGAGTACAGAAGTGAAAATTTTTTCCCCCGTCATACTAAATACTTATCAAAGGTGGTACAAAGAAATAGTAAGACGAGATATAACACAAAATAAGTAAACATTGAATAACAGAAATGCATTACAAATTGTGTCAACAGGTCAAATAAACACGAAAGTACGATTTGAGAGTACTCGCAGTTACTGAAAGCTAGTTTAAAGCCAAAAACAATTAATAATAAAAAATCATGCATCAGAGACTAAAACCAATTAAAACACATCCCAGGCAGGGATTTAGTGTTTAAACGCCATGGACAGTCAAAGAAGACATGACTTGTGCAATGCCAAAAGAAAAGTAACGACAGGCAGTAGGATAGTAAGGATTTAACCTTATAATAAATATGTATGATGTTATGTATAGATAAAACAATTTCTAAATAGAAAATAAACGTGAATGTGTATATATACATCCCAAAAAACCATTCGAAAAGAATACACATTTGGTTGTGTTTTAATTTGTTGATGACAAAATCGATGTTAGTGCCAATGAAAACAATATTCAAAGATCTTATTACAACATTGATAAGATAACCTTTACAAATAAGTTTGTTTAAAGGTTCGATAAGTTTACACGGATCACATAGTGATTTCCGCGCTTGAAGTACAATATTTCCGTAAAATTTAGGATGTAAAATACCATTATTTAGCATGTTTAGTGTATACAAGTAACATGATTGATACAACAAACACATAATATTCATACCAAAAATTACAAGTAATAAATAAGTCAATGTTTGAAAATCTGCAATAATCAATTTACAACTTAATTCTTTTGTACTTTAATACCACCTTAAAAAGTATACAACAATTCACAACATTGTCAAAAAGATAACATAGAGAGCAATCTGAAATAAGATATTTTTCTTACACTCCAAATTTTTACTAACATATAGTCCTAATCAGCTGGCTAAGCTGAATGAAAAACGATATTGGGTACACAACAAAAAGAAAACAAATCTAAAGAGCTTTTAATCTTATCTTATTAACATAGTTGGTTACAGATAGTTTACTAGTTTGAAAATTTTATTACGAATTTTACATGGCATTAAAAGTATAAAATCAAACATATGCAATGTTGTTCTAAATATTATCAAAAAATGGTATTCGCCACCTTACAATACAATCAGATTAACGAATATCTGTCACTTTATAAAATAGTCTATATTTTCATCTACCAATTGATATATGTACACACATTGACACAAAATTATACATCTTTGTACTAATAATCTCATTTCTCTACAGTATACACATAGCAAAATAATTCAAATAGTCAGGTAATTTTCTAATATATAAACCACATGATATATAGCCATACAACATTATCAAAACGAGATATGTATATGCTTTAAAGAGATTTGTCAATATATCTACAAGACAGCAACCTAACAATACAATAAAGAAAAAACAAACAAACAAACAACAGCTACAGGTTATAAATAGAAGTATTTGACTAGTGCCGATACTTCAAACTATAAATATGATAAACTAATCTAAGCTGTTTTGCGGGTTTTGAATATTAAATGAATTTATTATGTATAAATTTGTACGGGTACAAACAATAAGAAAATATCCTTCACAGAAATTGATCATTTTGAAATTAATTTTGATTTGCACCTTTTCCTTTTAACAATGATTCTATTTCTATGTGTCCTTGCTCCAGTGCTACACTAAAAGGACTTCTACCTTTAAAGTCACATTGATTGACATCAGCTGAACATTTTAACAATTCTATAACAACATCAACATGTCCATTCTCACTTGCTATATACAGAGGTGATACACCATTATTGTTACAGTGATTAACATCAGGTGAATATTTTAACAATTCTTTAACAACACTAACATGTCCATTGTGACTTGCGATATACAGAGGTGATGCATCATCATTGTCACAATGATTTACATCAGCTGAATGTTGTAACAGTTCTTTAACAATATTAACATGTCCATTCTCACTTGCTATAAACAGAGGTGATGCACCATTATTGTAACATTTATTGACATCAACTGAATGTTGTAACAGTTCTTTAACAACACTAACATATCCTTCCTGACTTGCTATATACAGAGGTGATGCATCACCATTGGAACACTGATTTACATCAGCTGAATGTTGTAACAGTTCTTTTACAACATCAACATGTCCATTCTCACTTGCTATAAACAGAGGTGATACATCATCATTAAAACACTGATTTAAATCAGCTGAATGTTGTAACAGTTCTTTAACAATATTAACATGTCCATTCTCGCTTGCTATATACAGAGGTGATGCATTTTCATTGGAACACTGATTTACATCAGCTGAATGATGTAACAGTTCTTTTACGACATCAACATGTCCATTCTCACTTGCTATATCCAGAGGTGATGCATCATCATTTGTTCTCTGATTTACATCGGCTGAATGTTGTAACAGTTCTATAACAACATCAACATGTCCATTCTCACTCGCTATATACAAAGGTGATACATCATCATTGTCACACTGATTTACATCAGCTGAATGTTGTAACAGTTCTTTAACAACATTAATATGTCCTTCCTGACTTGCTAAATACAGAGGTGTTGCATCAGCTTTGGTACACTGGTTTCCATCAGCCGAATGTTGTAACAGTTCTTTTACAACATCAATATGTCCTTCCTGACTAGCCCATAATAAAGGGAACCAACCAGCCTCATCACAATGATTAATGTCACTATTCCTACTTATCAACCATTTGACAAGGTCAACAGAACCCATAAAGCAACTTCCACCAAGTGCTATATTTTTATCGTGAATATCTTGAGTACAAACTAGTTCTGCCTGCTTTGATGTGTCAAGCTGGTTTAATCGTGTTACCATTTTTTCCGCAAATGTAGTAGAATTCATGTTTCTGTTTTGACATACACTGTTTACATAACCGTTCTCCCAGTCTTTTAGTAACCTATCTATATATTTATTTACATATTTATCAGGTATTCTTATCACAAACTCTATATCTGTGCCCATGTTTTCTGTTATCTTGCATAAAAATCTCTCTCCAGTGAAATCAGTATTAGCATGATCAATGAAAAGCTGTAACATCTTTTCCCCAAAGTATTTGGCCATGAAATCAAATAACTTATCATGAATTATTTTGTACGTACTATCCTCCTTGACCACATAGGTACCTTCAAGTGTTTCAAGGGATTTCTTTAAACGTTTGATGGATGTTCCTTTATTCAGTTCACATTCTTCTAGTAAATCTTTTATGACTGCTCCTATCTTTTTATCTGCTGTGGACAATTTTTCTTCTGTTAATGTGTTGTTAAACATCACACAAAGGACTAAGCTACAATACTGCATCTTACCAGCATCACTTTCTCCATACATTTGTACAACTTGATCTTTGAAAACATCAAAAGGATTTCTAAAAAAAGATCTAATGCTTACATTTTTCTGGAGGTTCTGTTTATGATATAAGCTACATAAAAGTGGGAAAAAGTCATATTTTTCTGACAATTCCTTTACTTCATCAATATTTTCCTTAAAGTACATTTCAGCTAAAGCATTTTTACAGCATCAGTAAGTTTCAATTCTTGTGAACTTAAATTGATATTACACATTTTGAAAATAGACAGACTGCTAAATTGTTCATCTTTGTAAACCTCAAACCTACATGTAGACATTATTTTACAACATTTATCTTTAAGAAGTGATGTAATGTGATCAAGTCTTTGTTTCCAATCAGTGTAAATTTGTTGATTAAGAGTATACCGGCCACAAACGTCATCAAATACAAATAATGTTTTTCTCCCATGTTTAAACCATTTTCCAATATCTTCAGGTTTGCTGCATGGAATAACAGTATAGCCATCTTCAATCATTTTCAAGGCAATATGTTTTGATAGGAAACTTTTTCCAATGCCTGATTTTCCTACCAGGGTAATGGAACTTTGTGTCAAAACTTCTTGCATTACATGTTTCCCTGCTTCTGTACTAACAAACTGTTGATCATCCTCCTTCCACTGTTCCAAGCGTCTTTCGAACTGCTCTGCAAACAAAAATATTTTTTTGTAGATAAATTTAGTATCATTTCAAAGTTTTATTTTTAAGGTGTACAACCATCAAAGCGGTTATACAAATAATCCCTTGAACTTGACAGTTGTAGGAAATTAACCCAGGCCTGCATTTTATTGCAAGAACAAATGTCTGAGTCCTACATATGTGTCTTGTGTCTTTCAAAATATAATTCTTTTTTTTTTATTTCGTGTCTTATAAACTTTTTTGAAAACTTTAGGTGACATAGTTACTCAAGCTTGTAAACAGGAAATGGGGGATGAACAGTTAATTTGTTTACTTTCGATGATGGTTATATTCTTATATACAATGAAATGTTCACTGTGGTCATTTTGTTATTGTGCTATGGTAAATTTTTGTATTTTTGTATTCTTGTCTTTCGTTTTTGCTGATGTGCTTTGTCTATATGTCTTTTTGTTTTTCTTTGTTGACATATTTGTTTGTTTTTATAGTGATTAAAATTATTACACAATGTTGACTGCTGTACCGCTATTTTTGGCATTTGTACCTATTTTGTCTGTTTGTTTTGTTCACAAATTGCTGTCAACACAATATAATTTTATACGACTGTCATACAAGTGAGAGGTTTAGCTAGGTATAAAATCAGGTTTAATCCACCATTTTTTACATAAGAAAATGCCTGTACCAAGTCAGGAATATGAAAGTTGTTATCCATTCGTTTGATGTGTTTGAGCTTTTAATTTTGCCATTTGATTAGGGACTTTCCGTTTTGAATTTTCCTCAGAGTTCGGTCTTTTTGTTATTTTACTTTTTACACACGTATACCTTATCCATGCAAAGTATGTCTCTTTTGCAACAAATGTAAATTATGTGCAGTTTTTTTTTTAAATCCCAATTTAGCAAAGACTAAAAGGGGAAAATAAAGGGTGGTTACTACCCCATTGTACCTCTTTAGAAATCTACTTTAGCATGTCTAGTATGTTACTATTTACTATCATTTCTGGTAAATGCAATTTCATTTCTGTTTTGTAGTAATATCTATAATAAATCCTTAATGTTCATACTATGCTTGTTTGTTATTTGTATCCTAGAATTAATAAGTGACAATATAAAAAAATAGGAGATGTGGTATGATTAGCACTGATACAACTATCCACCAAACTTCAAATGAGGTTGATGTAAGCAATTATATAATATTAATCATAAGCAACCGTACAGCCTTCAACAATGAGAAAAAAAAAACCACAAAGTATAGTCGGCTACAAAAGGCCACAACATGAAAAATATGGAACAATTCAAATGAGAAAACTAAGGCCTAATTTAAAACAAAACAAATTACGAAAAACAAATATGACAGACATGAACCAATGACAACCAGTAAACTACGGGCTCCTAACTTGAGACAGACAATCGTAGAATATGGCAGGTTTAAACATGTTTGAAGGCGCCAACCCTCCCCAATCTGGGACAGTGGTGTAACAGTACAAGTTTATTATTCCAAAGAATTATTTTCATTTTTTAAAAGTCTTTGTATTGACGGATTTCCCATATGACCCCCAGATAAACTGTGGCATATAAATAATTTCAATACTATCATTTGGTCATGATACAAGCAGTATTAAAGGATTCAGTATAAGTATACTAGATATCTGACATCGCTTGGACATTTTTTGTGAGGCATGCAAACAAATCATAATTACTGATTCCAATAAAGTAATACATTTTCCTGCGTTATCTTTTTTTCTTTGTTTCGTGTTAAAAGCAAAGTTTAGCATTCAGTCCTCCATCGAATGTCACCAAAGAAATAGACATGTTACACTTACCACTGGGTTTGTACTTATATAAGCAACACGACGGGTGCCACATGTTGAATGAGGAGGATTTGCTTACCCTTTCAGAGCTCCTAAAATCAACACCTTTTTTTTGGGGGGGGGGGGGGGGTCGTGTTGCTCAGTCGTGAGTCATCTATGTTGTGCTTTGTGTCTTCTTTGTTTTTCATCTTTTTCGTGGTATTGTCAGTTTGTTTTTGACTTATCAGTTTGATTATACGTATTTTATCTTTCGCTTCTCTCCTTACAATAAGATTAGCCTACAATTCATGTTCATCGATTTGAATCATTTGTCTCATTTATTTATTTATAACATACTAAAACAACTATTCAAATTACACAAAGTCCTAAAAAACGATTTATACTGCATTGACTTGTTGTATATTTCAACCATTCGTGTGCATTAGAATAGATGCTATCTAATTAACCATGGAGATGATCCCGGAAGAATTTCATGTGTCATATGACCTGATGTAAACATAAATATAAATATAAATAAACAAGCAAGCATGTGCAATTGTATGATGATGACTTTTATAGGTCTGTTTGATTTCATGTCATAGATCATGTAAATTTAACAAAAATATGTAAATTATCGCAATGTATTTGAATGATTTTTTGTTGGCAGATTCAGTCAATGCAAAGGATCTTTCCGATGGCTGCCCTGTTCCATTTTTCAATGTTGACATTCTTTTCTTTTCATAGCTTAACATGCTTACCGCATTACGAAGTCCATTCCAATTAAGGGTTCAATGACGTTCACATGAATACAGATTCAGATGAGTTGAATTATTGACTTAAATGCCAAAAATACATCCTCAATGTTTTTGAGCTCATTTTGATAAAATTGAACCAAAACGGACTGCTATTTGCGAAATATTATTTCACAATTACGTCGTTAAAAATATTTCAAAAAAAAAAAAAAACATATTTCGATTTTTTACAAACTTCGAAACTAGTGTCTCTTTACCATTTCAATTGATAAATCTTAAAAACCATTCCATTATAACTTTTGACACCACCTATCAATTTATGATATCATTTTCTACCTAGTATAAAAACAAGGAGATGTAGTATGATTGCCAGTAAGACAACTGTCCACCAAAGTTCAAATGACGTGGATGTAAACAATTATAGGCAACCGTACTGCCTTCAACAATGAGAAAAACCCATACTGTATAGTCAGCTATAAAAGGTCTCGACATGAAAAATGTGAATAAATTTAATTGAGAAAACTTACGGCCTAATTTATAACAAAAAAATTACAAAAGACAAGTATCACACAAAAAATATGTGTATTCCTGTTATTTTTACAATAAATGCCGTGTAATAGGATAAGTTTATGTTTCATAACGAGTGAGAATTTGATTCCGCTTGATATCAACTCGAGTAATTCAATCTCAAGTTAATTAGTAACGAGAGCTGATATCAAGCAATATGCAGTTCTCCAAATTTGTTTAACCTATTTATCTTACACAGTAAACATTCTCTTTTTGTTAAAAATAAAAGTTTGTGACTTGTTGATCTGTTTTATTCTTGTACATATCAGTACGACGTCATACGTCATGTTCTGGCGTCAAACTTTAACATCAGACATTTTAAAACTTTTTTAAAAATGTAATAAAATTTAAAAAAAAACTAGATGTGTCGAAACAACACGAATGGCCCCGCTCGCAAAAAAATGTTTGAAGCCATTTTCAGGGGTGGAAATTTTCAAAGTCCAAAGCCTGTAACTTTGGCAAAAATATGCTGGGCATAACCAAACGTTAACTCGATCTGGAACTCATCATAGTAGACTCACATAATAAAAACCGGCTGAATATGTGAAGGCGTTTAGAAAAGAAAAGTCTGTATACATTGTAACTATTATTTTCATGACATTCCAAAGTCCAAAGCCCGTAATTTCAACAAAAATAAGGGAAGCGGAACCATACGAGACTTGATCTGTAACTCACCATAGTAGACACACATACTAAAAATCAGCTCAATAGGTGAAGGTGATAATAATAAAAGTCCTTATGCATGTTACTGTTTGTTGTGGATTGACCGAATGACGGAATGACTGAATGATGGATAAAGTAACACTATATGGCCCCGATTTAGGCCATAACGACCTAAGTCGGCGGGGACATAAAAAAAAATTCAGGTGAAAGATATGATTGTTTTGAATCTCATTGAAGAAATCACATATCTATACCATTGAGGAAATGTTCATCGTTTTGATCTTTGAGAGTCATCCCTGAAAAATGGAAATGTCTTAAAATCACCAGCTCAGTAGTCAGCACTTCTGTGTTGACATGAATTGTCATTAAATGGTCATGATTATAAATGAACTGTTTATAATCTATGAAATTTTGGAGATATTAAGGATTTTCTACCCCAGGAATAGATTACCTTAGCTGTAATTGGCAAAACTTTTTGGAATTGGGGGGTCATCAATGCTTTTCAACGTTGCACTTTGTTTGACTTTTTTAACCTTTTTATTAGAGCGTCACTGATGGGTCTTTTGTAGACGAAATGCGCGATTGGTGAACATAATTTCAATCCTGGTATCTATGATGAGTTTTTTTATGATGCTGGACCAAATTAATGCATTTTTCGTATCACACTTTTTGCAGTGTGATACAAGAAATATATCTACATGCGAGCAGTAGACAACAGGCCACAACCATAAAAGAAAGTAATGTTCAAATGTTCATGAATAAACTTACCAAGTATATGTTTAGGAATAACTTCATCTTGAATCCTCGGAATATCTAAAATAAAGAATTACATTTCTTTAAATTAATTCAAATTTAAATTTCTCATATTCTACATGGCATTTTATCAAACACGTTTTTCGGTTGTTCCCATATTGTACTAGATGTCCCATGGAAGATTTAATCGTTTATCTGGCAAGCAAATATTATGCAATATTGATAATGAACTGAACAAAAGTGTGCATGCTGAAATTTTCGTCTGTCTTACTAGTCACGTTTGAAATTACGTTAGCCTGTTTTACTGGTCACGATTGAAATAACGTTCAAAGTCTCAAAGAAAAAAGTAATGCTACAATTATTACATAACATTAACATTAGTAACGATCCATGTTAATAAGGACAAGTTCAGATGAGCCCTGTCAGTTGGCCTTACAGTTATTCCTTTCACCAATTATAGTTTATCTATATTCATCTATAATTGCTTATTTTATCTGTAAAACAGACCTAACCTAGACAACTTTACCAATGAATCATGAGGTGAGGTCAGACATATTCTGCTAGTTTGACATGTCTACCATACAATTATGCCATATACCAAATATAGTTAACCTATTGCGTATAGTATCTAAGAAACTGACCTTACCATGAAAACTTACCATTGACCAATTAACCATGAAAATGATGTCAAGGTTATATGTATCTAACCAAACATGTACACCTAACTATCGTTCCATGCACATATTACATAAAACTTAACATTGACCCTATAACTATGGACATAAGACCAAGGTCAAGTGTATAAAAATGTTAAAGCTATAATATCGAAATACGAAAGTAAGAATGACCGGATGAATATAATGTATTCCCTATTTGCATGCATTGATAAAAAACGCAGCTTTTCTCCCTGTTTACATTTATTGCAAATCAGTTTTAACTTCAAGTTGTTAATTATCGTGTTAATTAATGTATATCTTAATATAACATTTTCAACAATTGCCAGTTTATTATTGAGGAATTTGTATGCACATACTTTAGTTACTTTTTTATTGCAGTTTATTTTTGCAATTTACACGTTAAATCTAGTTCCAATAAGTTTTTTTTAGATAACAGCAAGAAACAGTACAAATTATCATTTTACAATAACTCCAAAACAGGTAATCTCAAAATATCCGAGTAGATAGATCTTGTCATTCTGATCACTTTTGCAGAGTACACTTTTGACCTAGCTTCTATAGTTTTCAAAATAACAACAGAAAATTTTTCGACAGATTTTTCTGAAATTTTCAGGGTTAATTTAATCATGTGTTGATTATTGTTTAATTTTTCCTTTTTTCACCTATCTTTTTATTTTCATGTTTGAAGCTAAAAACTGCAAACAAGTTTTATTTCAGGGGCAATAACTCTAAATCAAATCTGCAGATTTTCCTCCAAGTTTCAAGATGGATACATCCTATTGATTTCAACCTTTTTTTGCAATTTGCAGTTATAACTGATCTCCAATAATTTTTACGATAACAGTCAAAAAAACTATAAAAAAAAAAACATTTCAAGGGCAAAAATCCAAAACAGGTCAACGCATTGTTCACTTGTATTCATGGTAAGTATATCTTGTCATGCTGAACCTTTTTGAGATTAAGGCTTTTAACCTAGCTCCTTTAGTTTTCATGATACACACAACTATTAAAATTGGAAAAAAAAATCTATATATCTATATATATGGGGCAATAACTCATAAACAATAATTAAGATTTCATGGTGGATACATCTTGTCATGTTGATCATTTTTACTTTTAACCTAGCTCCTATGTTTTTCCCCCAGATTTTCAGGATAGATAGAAATTTTTGTGCTGACCATTTTAATACAGTGTGGCCCTGTTAATGGGTCATCCTGAAAAAAATCACAAGCTTTATAGTTGACATTCCCATATATGTATAAACCAGACAAACTTTAGTTTAAATCAATGGAGCAGTTTCAAAGGTGAAGATTTTAAAAGAAAAGTTTGCTCACGACAGAAAGTGGATGACAAATGATTGACAATGGCCGACATGACAGAAATAAAGTGAGACAAAAGCTAACCTGGCGTGTGAGCTGAAGTGGAAATAATTTGTAAATAAAAATAGTATAACTCCAATAAATAATCAATAGCAGTTTCTGTGTTGTTGTTGTTGGTACTTAGTTGTAAATATAATGATGCAAATCAGTTATATATATAATTAACTGTTTAGCTAACAGTTATATACGAATTTTCACAATTTTTCAGTATTATAAATGCTAAAAAATATTCTTTCAAGGGCAATACCTCCTATAAAATTCAACTGATTGTCACATGTGGTAATTTTGTAGATCTTTAACTGATGATTATTTTTGTCGTTTACAGATTCTGTCAACCTAACATTCTTATCACAAAACTTTCAATTTTAGGAACATTAAAGTGAAAGAGTGTGCAAAACAATAAATTTGGAAATTATCCATTTATAAAGTAACAAAACACAAGAACGGTTAAAGTGACGCCATCAAAATTCAACCTTGATCTGTGTTTGGTGGTAATATGTTTCAGATCATTAGGTTGTGGCAAACGAAACTTAGAGAACAGAAACCAAATCCATGACATACGCACATAGATATTAGGTCAAAGCCAGAAACAACATGCCAAACTATCATTCTGTATATTTTGCAATAAACCATGTTTAACCCGACAACATTCTGCATGTGACTTTCCCAAGTCAATGACAGTAATTCAGTTGTTGTGGTTTGTTGTTTTGTATCATATTTGTTTTTTTGTTTTGTAACTTATTCAGGCCGTTAACTTTCTCGTTTGAAAAACTATAACTTTTCATATTTGTCATTTCGGGGAATAAAAGAACAGAGTTCAAATGCTCCCGATCACGAGTTCCACATATTTGTTCTGTCAGAGGGCAATAACTGAAAAAAATGTTTTTCTTTAAAACTTCTTATATATATAAATATCTTGAATATTTCTATAAATATAAAGAAATGTAGGCATAAGAGCGCTTAATTTAACAAAGCAGTTCTCCATATAATAATATTTTCAAGAGAAATAACTCTTTTAAAATAATTTGATCAGCACTGATTTTCAAAGTTTTCCGAAATATTGCTGATATAAACCTTTCATAATTATCTGGCTGCTATTGTACATATGAGAGTGCTAACAATGCAATATTTTAAAGAATTCTCATTTAAGGGTAACAACTCCTGACAAAAAAAATCAGCACTGATTTTCGAAACCAGTCACAGACAGTGCAGATATAAACCTTTGATATACATTTGATCTAAATCTGGCAAAAAAGTTGCATGAGAGTGATAAAAAAATAATTTTCCATAAAATATATATTTACAAGGAGAATAACTCTTTAAAAAATAGTTGATCAGCACTGACTTTAGAAACTGTCCGAGTCATTGCTGATATAAACCTTTGATATGAAATTGATAAAAATTTAGCAAGAATTGTACACTTCATAGCACTTACAATGCAATTTCCCATATAATTAATATTTCCAAGGGGCACAACTCTTTAAAAAAAAAAAGAGTCCTAAATTTTTAACTTGTCCTAGACGTTGCTTAGTCTCTGATATAAATTTGATCTGGCAAAAATTGTACTTGTAAGAAAGCTTTCAAGACCAGACTGACAGATGCATGGACGCCCAATATGTCTTTGTCTCCCGCAATGTGTAGCGCGGGCGATAAACTAAAAAAATCTAGTACATATAAGATGGCAAATTAAGGACCTTTGATCACAAAGTTTCTGCAGATCATCACTTTGAAGGGTAAAACAGCTACATGTATTTAGACAATGAACATCAATTTTAAATATTTACAGCAACTTCAAGGCTCGAATGAAATATAATGTATGGTTACCTTTTTCCTCCTGTCTGTCTTTTAGTTTCTTCATTCCTGAAACAAGACAAACTGCCTAGATGTATTGATGACACATACTCTTAATCTGTTCTATAACTAAAATCCAACAATATTTTGTTATAAAGGTTAACGAAAAAAACAAAATTCCTATCTCAAATCATATATTCAGGCTATTCAATCAATAATTCTAATGTAATCATTTTGTATCAATTGTTCTGATTGGATGCATGGCAATAAGCGTTAAATCCTCTATTTACCTGTCTGTAACCAAGGGTAGCCAACATTTTTGAATTCTGGATTGTAGAACAATGTTTCTTTTATCTAATTTTATTACATTCTGAGGCATACAAGAAGCCTGAAAATGTCCGGGGCTTACATTTGACGTATGAATCATATATATGATGTTATTATATATATGATGGGCTTACATTTGACGTCAGAAGCATATATATGAGGGCCTCAGGGAAGATTAGTTTATTGTAACTAACTGAGTTTACCCTTTTTAAATAAAGAATGTGTTATTATTATTATTATTATCTTGTTGTGTTGCTAAGACGATGACATTATTTTGCAGAATTTTCGTTTTATGAAATTCTACACTGAAATAATGACTGAAATGGATTGATTTGTTACTTTTGAAAAAAGAATAGAGATAAACATAGAGATTTGAAGCTGGGCCTACGTAAAACTTGTTAACCAGCTCCACTACGCATCACAATGTAAAATCAATTTGCTACAGTAAAACCCACATTTTACGTAGGCCAAGTTTCAAATGCAATACAGGTATCTCTTATTTGACAAAATTGAATTCTACAACATTCAACACAACTGACCAGGTGATAAAAGAATGCATATCTGCAGTAAATAAACTCATCATAGATACCAGAATTGAAATTTTGTATTTGCGTCAGACGCGAGTTTCGTCTACAAAAGACTCATCAGTGACGCTCGAATAAAAAAAAGTTAAAAAGGCCACATAAAGTACGAAGTTGAAGAGCATTGAGGACCAAAAATTCAAAGTTTTGCCAAATACAGCTAAGGTAATCTATTCCTGAGGTAGAAAAGTAATATATATTTACTAGTAGTATGGTATCAGACTAAAATGTAATGTAAATGCAAAGTACTTGAACCTTTGTAATAAGATCAAGGTTGTTGTTATTATTAATTGTAGTCATGATTA